ATGAACTCCTGACTGAAGCTCTTCTCATCTGCTCTGAAACTCATGATGTTTGATAAGCCTTAAAGCTCAATTATTTACTTAAGATGAATAATATTCACTGTTATCTGACCGGTGTCATGAATTAATCTTCAGTTTTGTTGGTTTACTGCTGTTACTCTTACAGCTCATTTCTCTCAGGTAACTATTTAGAGTCTCATTTGAGCAGAGTTATGATTTATTAATTCAAGAAACACACCAGAAGATCCCATTAGCTCAGAGAGATGATATATTTGAGTTTCACGTCTTTAACATAATGACATGCGAGATCTTAGGGATATGAAAACAGCCAATAAAGAGGGTTTTTTTTTTTCAGAGACCATTTATGATCAAGTTATATTAATTAAAAACATTAATTTATCAATCCTCAAAGATAAAATAGTGATACAAATCTGTTTAAAGACCCACTCCGATGAAAATAATGTTTTTCTAGGTGTTAACATGTTCTTGTGGCATTTTTCTGATGTTAGAGGACATACCTTGAGAAAAATAAGCTCAAAGTTGTATTTCTACATTCAAATGGCTGTGAATCAGTAGCAGACGCTAAAATGCCGGTTTAAAATAGACTGGAGTTGTGACGTAGTAATTCCACTGGGCGTCTCCACACGCGACGTCTTGGAGTGAAATAATGATCGGTGATTGGTGATAACTTTGATTAACTTCGGATAATAATAATTAACGTGTATATAATACTGTTGCCCCACCGGTATTGGGGATGTAAGCTAGCGGGAGAGACAGAGCTCTCAGCAACGGGCAGGGGGAGGGTCGTCTCCGTGCCAACGGCTCCGCCCACAACGCAGAGGCGAATTGCTAATGAGCTACTGCCGCTCTGCTGAAGCGAAGTCCCAGAAAACGGCACAGGTTTTGTGATTTTGGCTAAAAATGGCATAATCATAATTTAAAGACCACTGGGAATGTTTAAAAATAGCTCAAAATATGATCGGAGTGGGACTTTAATATAAGGATTTTTCTTCATTTGTTAAATATACATCTGGTATAATATACTGTAATATATCTTTCAGTATAATTGGATATTTCTGAATATTACACATTTCTATTTTGATTTCATGTTGACTTTAATACTGCAGTAATTAGAACAACAGAAGCAGATTCTGAAATATTATAACCATCCAATCACACAGAAGAATTGGTGTCACCTGATCTGCAACTGCATTAATTAAAGTAATACAAACATTTCAGGTGGAAATAATCAGCGTGGCACTGATGACACATTACAAACATCCAATATACAGCATTTAAAAGCACCAAGCATCCATTTTAAAGTATCAGACATACTTAATGACCATCTTATGCAGTCGCATTGAAACGTAAAAGTGAAATATCACAGATGTTTTGGTTCTGATGTGAAGATTTCACCACAGTTACGAACTCTCAAGGCTTTCCAGTCCGTAGCAGAGTTTGATTTTAAAAACTCAAATGCTGTAAATCTAAACAGGAGATGTTCCTCGAGCTCTACTGAGCATCAACACATCATACTCCCTTTCCTCCTTTGAGCAGAGGTCAGAGGTCAAAGGCTTTAGCAAATCTTGAACAGGTCTCTCAGGCTAGAGAAGTGAATCCATTCAAACAGCTCCTGTAAAATTGAAAGAAAAAGAGATTTGTGTATTCATAGGCCGCTGTGGACATGACACTCAGCAGTAGAGTGTGTATAGGTTTGTTTTTTTCTTCTAAGTAGTCGACATGATCATAATAACCATTAAAATCTCCTCCCACTCACCAGGTTCCAGCAGAGAGATGCATCTGAAATGACACAAATTAATCAAAGAAGAGGCGTGTTCAAGTCAATTGTCTGTATAAACTGCATTTATAATATAGAGTTCAATAAACAAATAGATCTGAACAAAATATTTCATGTTGAACTCTCTCTTTAGATGTCATAATTTCTCATTATGCTATTATCATCCGCCAGGTCTATTCATATATGTCTAATACTCACGCTTTGAAACATCTTGATGTGGAATATCAGGCTCCAGAGAGTTCTGGAAGATTTTTAGGAAGCATCTGGACTGATTTGCTGAAATGTTAAAGAAAATGTTTCCATTAAAGCCCTTTTTACACCTGGTATTAAGATGTGTTTTGGTCGATCGGATCACAAGAGGACAGGAAAAAAGTGTAAACGGGGTCTAAAACGTTTCGAACTTGTCCACTTTCAACCACTTCCAGAGGTAGTTGAAAAAATGGAATCCACCTTTGGCTAAGCCACACCCTAGAATGTAGATTGACCAATCACAGCGCAGCCAAGAACGAGCTCCCACAGAGGTCCGACACTTTTTCACAGCGTCTCATTGACTTTAACACAGGCGTCTCATATTTTTTGGTCTCGGCAGGCTCTTACCGTCGTAGTTTTATCAAAAATATGGTTAAACGTTGTGCGTGGGGCATTTGTAACACAGATACGCGTTTCCCAGAGAGGTTAGAGGGGTGTGCGTTTTTCCCCTTACCAAACCGAAGTCAAATCCTGACAAGTGTCGTCTAGCACACGCTGCTAATAAATACAACGTTATACTCGTGTAGTCCGTTTGCTTTGTAATAACGATTATAGAAGTGAATAGAGACCTACCCAGCTTTGCATAAACAGTGTTGCTCCTTGATATTGTTAGTCCCAGCCTCCGTCTCGATTAGTAGGATATGCGGTGGTTCATTTTTTGATGCCTGGTTGTTCCTTGCGTTTCACCTGTATGTCGTGAATATAGCCTTCGAACGTATATTGCAGCCCCTTTTGCCTACTTCTATCGGACACTTTATTTGCTGTTTTATAAAAGTTTGATAAAATTTCAGCAGGAAGAGCAGTCACAGCATACGCCATGTTGATACCAGAGCCCAGATGAAGTTTGTTTGTCGGACGTAGCCACGGCCGCATTAACAATAGGGCTAGGCGGGGCTAAAGCCCCGGGGCCCGAGCAAGGAGGGGGCCCGTGATTGGCTGTGGAGTAGATACTAGCCATCTGATTGCCAAAGCCTTACCACGCAACGCCCCCCCCCCACAAATTAGCCCTGTTATTTAGTGGCGCTTTGCCGTATATTCCATGCATTATCATGGAATCATTATCATTAATATTATGACCGTTCGCAAAGACCCGCCTTTTTAAGTTACTGTGTGACAAGCCAGGCGTCTCTCACGAGTCACGCACATCATGTTCTCACTCACGCAGTGAAAAATACATCGCGGGGCAAAGACTAACGTTACACCGACTGACTATGAGAGAGAGAGTTCAGAGCAGCTTACTGTTGATATGAAACAAAGTCTCAACTTTCAAATATTGTCATTTAACTAATAAACAATACCGTTTTCAAGTTCAAGTGCACAGACGTTAATCTACTGACAGCTTTGTTGTCGGACAAAATTTCGTATTCGGCGTTATGATTGGCCAGTTCGCCTGTCAATCAAACCCCCGTGGGCAGCAGGGCATGGTGAATTAAAACGTCACGTTTTAATTTGATATACATTTATTCTTATTTAACTTGTGAACGATCTACCTGCTGCTGCACGTAGGCCTATCAGATGGCTGCCTGCGCCTTATTAGAATATAGCCTACGCATCAACCATCAATCGCCTCCACTCTTCACTTCATTCTAGACTATTCTTAAAACACATGCGTCGTCATCGACCCCACAAATTTTCGGTAAGTTTGATTATTAACTTGATGGATGTATGATATCTCTATTTTCGCCTAAATGGCCTAAAATATGTACATTTTCCTGCGCCATCATGATGTAAGTTTATAATTTAAACGCGTTTTTAAGCATTGTGGTTTGGATACAAATTATTTTAAACTGCTCAGGCACAGTAAGCAGCGGGAGAGAATTCATTTTGGTTTTGAGACCATGGTGAACTTGAGACGGTTCTGCACAGCGCACTTGAGTTCCGACTCTGAGGTCTTAAAGTGACAGTAGCTGCTAATAAAGCTGCTGTCGCCATTTGTGTCCATAATGTTAATCAAACATCAGAAAGAAAGTAATTTACTGCCCTTGACTGAATCACTTTTGTAAAATTAATAAGAAATAATGTTGAATTTATAGTGAAAACTATGTATTGTTCATTTGATTACTTTATACAATATATTATTCAGTGCTTTAAGTTTTTCAAGTAGGTCGATTTCTTATGTGCCTTTGTTCTATTGTTATTTGTGACTCTTGTCATCAGTAAGCTTAAGATTCTTTTCTTAAGCTACTATTATTTTTTGTGATATTGAAATTGGTCACAAGAATTATGAAATTTTAGTGGCATAAAATTTTGATATGATAAAAAATCGTATTAAAAGTAATATAACTTAACTGTGAAGTATATCATAGATGAATAAAATTACTCGTATAATGATAGAACATTTAGCTCATGTAGTTGGTGACCTAAAGTGGTGGTGGGGGGGCCCTGCAGTAACTCATAGCCCCGGGGCCCAGTGAGCTTTTAATGCGGCCCTGGACGTAGCAACAGTAACTAAGGGGGGCGGGGCTTAGCCAAAGGCGAATTGCTTTCATAGTGGAAATGCTCAGTCACAAAAGACCATCTACTCTCCGCCTGACCTAATGCCTAAACATTATGGGAAGAACAGGATTTAAACTTTGTCAGCTGAAGACCCAAGATAGGCTTGATCCGATTGACCAAAACACTTCTTAATACCAGGTTTAAACAGGGCCTAAGTGAGAAAAACAGATAAAAGACATGGGGAGAAAGTGATTTGTGGGTCTGGGCTTTGGCTTTCAGTTGAAAACACATGAGTTCCAGCTAAATTCCCCCGAAAACTCCCTGAAACACAAACAGAGACACCAAACAAACACCTATAGACTGATGGTGCGTTCATGTGCATGGTAATTATGGTAAATACCAAAAGCCGACGTGGAAAATGCACATGAACACCCCCTCATGTGGTATTTTCCACTGGGCAGCTCGTAGAATATTTTGATGCACGAGTTGCTGAGATGAGATAACCTTTGACCTTTTCAAAATGGCGGAGAGCAACACGAGAGTCGTGAATGGTAAGAATTACCAGTTCACAAGTGGAAAATATCCTATTCCATAGCACGTGAACGCACCATCAAACTCACATCAGTGTCTTATTCTCCAACATGAGGATGGCCTGATCACGTCTGTTCAGAAGGACACAAAAAGTGTTATTTTCCCACATAACTGATTTCCTTATTACCTGATGATTAATAGATGAATAACTTTGGTTGGGTTCCAGAAAACAGAAAGTCTGTTTGGGACTTATTCTTCAGGGAGACAAACCTTGGCCTGGCCAAATGGAGCATATTCCAAACCTTGATGAATTTCAAAAGAAAATGATCTGGCAGAGATATAATAAAGGGAGCTGAGAAATAATTGAAGTTCAGAGACAGACAAGACCTCAAACCATTTAAAGAAAACCAATGGAGTAAGCAACATAATAGTGTGCCATAAGATCCATAATTCCTTATTTTGTACATAATGGGATTTTTGGATTTTATTGAGAAAATTTCCTGTAAGTCCCATGCAAGTTTACGTGAATTATGGCAAACAGACCAACTGTTTGACATGTTTGAAAGTTGATCATTCACTAAATAAGATTAGCTGGATTTCATTGATATCACTCCAGTTGTTTTGATAATTCATAAAACATTATTAAAGACTTTACAATCATGATTCTACTTATGAAGACACCCTAGTGCCTAGTGATTCTAGTTATAAATCAAATTTCACACTTTTGTTGCACAAATTAATTTTTAGGCTCTCTTATGAAAATTGACAGAATTATATCTGCACCGAATCTGTGTGTTTATAGTTCACCACTACAATTAGATTGTAAAAAATGTATTTGAACATCGTTCTATGTGCTTCCACATTATTGGATGCAAAAAGATACTGCAAACTTATGTAGTCGTACTCGTATGTTCTTACCTTGGACTTTTGGAGATAATAAATATTTTATACTTGTAGCTGTACGTTCACACCGCCGCCGACTTGAGCGTCAAAGAAGCTCTGGCCGCCCTGTCAAGGACGCTTGTCAAAAAGTACGGGGAAGCTGGTTGGCGCTTTGGATGCTTTAAACGCTCTGACGTTGCAGGGAGAAGAGAAGTGTCACAACATGAAATGTAATAAACAGGAAAAAACAAGCAATTCATTGAAGAAACCTTTTATAATGACAGCATTTTTATAACCGTTTTGGTCACATTTGGTCGGGAAAAACAGAATAGTTAGCTATTATTATTATTATTTGCATTAGGCTATAAATGCAATTGGTCAAATCGGTCTCACCGTGAGCAAATGAATTGCATTCCCGCTTTAAAACGAGCGTTCGTAAATATTTCAAATAAAAGTTGTGCTCATGCGGTCCCTATAAGCAAACAACATCATGTCATAAATGATAGGAAACCTGTAGGAAACCCAGCAACGGCAAAGCTTCTCTAGCCTCGTGAGACCATCCTGATCTCGCGAGCTTTCAAGGTTTCACTCGCAGATCAGTCTGGATACTTTCCGTTAAAGAAAATTTGGGAGCAGTTCACCAAACGAACGTCCAATCAGCGTTGGCTTTGAGGCGGGTTGAGGTGTGACGCAACGAGAAGCGCGACAGTTCAGTCTAAAGAACATGGCGGCTTCAGCGGATGAAACTAGCATCAGCGTGGCTATCGATCCTTTGCCGACATGTTGCTTATTTGCTGAGCTAACGAGCCTTTACCTGCAGCAGCAAGAGTAGCCTGGCTTGTGGTTGTGTTTTCGTCGTCGCTCGATCTGTTAGTACGTCATATGCTTCGTTGATCTGATTGGTTGACCCGTCTATCACCAACATAGGCCAATCAGCTAACCAGTATTTTCGCCCCTTACCAAAACTACTTCAACGGAAGGTTTCCAGATGGATATGCGGAGCAAAATCCATCTGGCGGAGTCAGGTTAAAGCTTCTCTTCCATTTTCTCGGAACTAATGTTTTGGTAGGAACGAAAGTTTACATTGTATGTTTCTCCGGAATCAGCCAGCGCGAAGGACGTCTATATACCGATTGGTTGCTGGCGTTTTGCCGCTGCTTGCCGCTGAACCACGTCACAGCTCATTACCATAAAGTTGAGCTTCTTTCAACTTTCTGATTGACGCTGAAAACACTCAAAACGCGACGCCGAGGGATTTGACGCTCCTTGCAGCTGAGAAAAGCCAGCTTCCATTGAAAATGAATGACTTCCGGCCGCTTTAGAAGCTCAAGTCGGCGGCGGTGTGAACGTACAGTAGTGCATGTGTTCCCACTGCACATTTCCATAGGCCTAGTTGATTTCTTTACTTTTATATTTGTCAAAAAGAAAGGCATCAACTAGATCTAAAACCTGATCTGGCACTGTTTAACATTGTTCAGTGCAGTTGTGTTCGTAAAACACCTGATTTCTAAACTCAATTGGCTTTATGCACAGCTTCACTACTTCCTGAACTTCAGCCAGCCCTTTGTTTCCTGTCTGCCATTATTGGACAAACTGATTAATCCAGGTGTGCCTGGCTTCAGTAACAATAATCAGGCACACCTGGATTAATCAGTTTGTCCAATAATGGCAGACAGGAAACAAAGGGCTGGCTGAAGTTCAGGAAGTAGTGAAGCTGTGCATAAAGCGTATTTCTATGCAGATGTGAGTCCTGAAAGACAATCTAATCTAAATGAAAGTTTTGCTGGTTTTAGTCATTATCTACTAGCTCTAAGGTCATCCATGTTATTCTTTCTAATCACCCACAAAATTATATTTCAGAACATTCTCACTTCCGGCTAAACAGAGGCAAAATTATGAGGTAACGACCAATCAAATGCTTTCTGGAACGAGAACGTCCCTCACTTAAATTATAAACACTGCATCCGAATAAAGCCGATTCCTAAATCGCTAACTTGTTCACTCATTTGCTTTTTCCTATATAATGAGTGTCGTACAGTGCACTATATAGGGAATATGGAGCGATTTCAGGCAGAGGTGTAACGTCCAGTCCAGAAAGTAAAAGTCCTCAGTATTTTGTTCCAATCACCTGGATTTGCTAATTAGCACAGTTTTTCAGCCAGGAGATTAGTGAACTAATTAGTGAAATCAGCTGGCTGAGTTCATGGGTGGAATAAACATATGGCAGGACTTTTACTTTCGGACCCCTGGGTCAGTTTATATGCTTTCCATTGCGACGAATATTATGCGAACCACCGCAGCGCAGCGCAGCTTCTCTCAATAACGCGGTATAAAGAAAATAATCATCCGATGTGTTTATAACTGAACTGTGCGAATGTAAACACATTAATGACTGATAACATATTTTTTATTTTTTTCACAAACCAGGGTGGCATTTCCATTTTATTTGTTTTTTTTAAGTATTCAAAACGTGTTAAATAATTAGTGCTTCAGTGCACACAAGGTGACACATCAGATTGGAATATTGCAGGATGTTTGAATAAAGACATTATGGATGTTATTCTTATAGTTATTCTTAACTAACACATGCAGGACTTAGGGGGATGAGATTTCCTCAACTTTTTGGTTTAAAATGTTGCCTTTCTTTATGAAACTTACCAACATTCAAGTGTTGATAAAAAGAAGAATGCATGAAGCTAATGAAATGTTTTTAAATTAAAGTAGTTAAAGGTATTTTTCAAGTATAAAAAATAACTTTTGAACATTAGAGGCCTATTGCATGTGTAAAAATAATATATAAATAGTAAACTATAAGTATAATGTTAAGTTCACTTAAAGAAAACGTATAGTACAAAACTACTAAACTAGTTTACTGAGAGTACACTAAAAGAGCAAAAAGGATATATAATTAGTAAACTACAAGTATGATGTTAAGTTCACTTAAAGAAAACTTGTAGTATAAAACTACTAAAAGTAGATTACTGAGAGTATATTTCAAAGTGTACTTTCATTAACAAAACATTTGCTACAAGTTTTGAAATAGTAAACTACTAGTATACCCATAAGTTCACTTGCAGTACAAATGAGAAACGTAATTATGAACTAGTTGTGCACTTAAAATACTACTGTTACACTTACAGTACACTTAAACATACTTTTTTATACTAAAAGTGGGACAATTTAGTCCGAAGCAGTATTAAAATAGTACTCTTACAAGTTTTCTACTAGCACATATTGAAATTAGTATACTTACTACATAATGTATACTTAAAAATATACTTGAACATTACTTAAGTACTTCATAAAATTAACTTGAAGTACACTTCTTTTTCGTGATAGTGAAACAGGATATAATCAATAATCTTGTTATATATAGGCCTAAGTGTTATCAGATTATGTTTGCCCGTCCCAAAATGATGGCATGATTTAAATAAGTCTGGCATTTCCTTCCTTCCACACAAGCAAGCGACCTGTTCATCTGGTAAGAAGAATATTTTCTTTCTCTGTTTTATGATCAGTTTTTATTACTCAGCCTACACTGTAAATGATACTAACATATACTGTTTGTAGACCTATAAGCAAATCTGATTGCATTGCCTGTCATTGCTTGTTTGTTGATCCGATACCCATTTAGATATGAATTAGTGTATGAATTTATTGCAGTGTTTGGGTATGTCATACAAGAAGTTTTTAGCCTTTGTATTAATAACAGAGAATCATAATGAATAAGTAATTATTGCGACATTTTTGATTTCTTGCATTCTCTCATATTTTTCTGTTTTCTATTTCCTCCTATCAACTATCAGTCAAACTCCTCATTGAATCGAACAGACCAGCAACAAACATTTTTCATCACTCCGCATGAATAAGATTGAGACCATTCAATAAAATATAAGATTCTTAACTGAGCATTACCATGATACTTCTATGTCCTGCTTCTTCTCTGGGGTGAGTATTTAATCCGGTCTTTATTATATTTTGAGCAGCTTTGAAAATCTATAAAAATATCCTCTCACACCATATGTTTATGCATGTTGAAAATGTAGCACTACATCTTATTATTTTATTAAGAAATTATAGATCTTTTTAATTTTACAAGGTGAGCATTTATTAAAGTTTCACATGTAAATGTTTTTAAAATATATGAATGCTAAAATAGTATTTTACTTGAAACTGAATATCTGTTCTCAGGCGTTCCCCTTTCGAGTGCAACAGGCCGACTGAGAAAATTCTACTTGATCGATAAAAAAATGCTTAAGAATGAAGCACAAAATGCTTGCAGAAGTGACTACACTGACCTCGTCACAATCTATGATGAAGAAGAGAATAATGAGCTAGTTGATATTCTCAATAATAGTGCGTATCGTGTGAATGGTTGGATTGGTGGCAGCAGCTGTAAATGGTCAAATGGTGATCTCGCCACATTCACCAAATACAGCAGAACTTTTAAAGAGGAAAAATGCTGCGGTGCCATAAACACCGCTGGAAGATGGGAGTGTATCAATTGTACTTCAACCAAATGTTCTTCATGTGTTATGATCAAGGTAATGATCCCTGAGCTGTTTATATCCTATAAATATCTAAATGCCATGCTAATAAAATTATTGTCTGTATTCATTCAGATCGTGGGCAACAATCATACAACTACAGTTTAATCCGTGAAAACCGGACCTGGTTTGAGGCTCAGCGGTACTGTAGAGAGAATCACACTGATCTAGTCATTATCAGAGATGATGAGGAAAATGAACGAGTGAAGAAAGCAGTGAATGGGAGTCACTCTTTCTGGATCGGCCTCCAATACAATAACAGCCTTGATTGGTTTGATGGTGGATATTCAGATTACAAACAGAATAGTTCATCTGAAGGATGCTTTACATTTCTCTCAAGACAAAATAAGAATAATAAACCAGGAGGATTTTGGTTCAAAATTAACACGGGTATCTATTCTGCTCTGTGCTACAGTAAGTTAACAAAATATTTCATGCTTTAAATTTCAAGTGTATTTATGAAACAAAACATGCAACTAATTTAAAAAAATATATATATAATTATTTTCTTCAGAAAGCTTCATTCATGTGAGCCCTGCTGAAATGTCCTGGGATAAAGCTCTGGATTACTGCAACTGTAACTTTTCTGGACTCCTGCGCATCCAGTCTGAGAACGATCAGATAGAAATGGAGCGAGAGCTAAAAAGAAGGAATATCTCCGGGCCAGTTTGGGTGGGACTTAAAGAGATTCGCTCCTGGATTTGGACCAATGGGCTTCATGTGGTAAACTGGAGTAACTGGAAAGAAGGAAGTCAACCAGAAAATGAGCACTGCGGTGCCATAGAGAAGGTGGACAGTCAATACAAATGGAGTGATAACAACTGTACAATTAAATATAGAGTTTTATGTGAGATGAAGTAATATAGGCCCTTTCGGTTTATCATGCAGTTTTTGATTCTCTGCCTCCTAAACAAGAGGAAAAAATGCTCATGTGTTCAACAGTAAACAGCTCTATCTTCATGTCTTGTATAATAAAGCTCTCAGTTAGCACTAACTAACCCCAAGTTGCTTGGTAATGCTATCCGGCTTAGTTGTCCTGTTGCCTTTATGGTTTTCATGCTTATCTAATTTATTTTACCTTTGTAAACCTTTATGTCTCATACTAAAAATGAATATTAAAAGTTGTTCATGAATGCATATTATATCATTGAGTACTTTTACTGGTAATATTGTGTTGATAGGCATTTGTACTCGGCAAATCTATAAGTAAACGGAGACACACAGACAGTTCATTAGTGTCATGAGTGTGTTATCTTTGATTGTTAAAATATTGACCTGTCTGAAAAAAATAAACAATGAAAAAATTCTGGGTACTATTGACTATTTCCTTTAATGCCAGCATTTATCCTTTAAAGAAGACCAATTATGCCCCTTTATTACAAGATGTAATATCAGTCTCAGGTGTCCACAGAATGTGTCTGTGAAGTTTCAGCTCAAAATACCTCACAGAGCATTTATTATACTATGTTGTTGTTACATGTATGTCCTGTGTTTCCCCCTGCTTTAGTGTTTTTGGTTTAGTCCTGTCAGTTTTCCCGCTCCTCGTTAGTGTTCAGTTCATTCACCTGTGTTTAGTTAATTAGCCCCAGCTGTGCCTTGTTTCCCTAATCTGTTCTCTGTGTGTTTAAACCCTGTGTTCTCCCTCACTCCTTGTCCGTTCTCGTTTATGTAAAGTGTGGTTCCTGAGTTCTTTGTAATAAATTCCTGTTTTCAGTTATTCCTCGTGATTCCTGGTGACCACGTACCATAACAGATGTAAATGCCAATTTTTGAGTTGAAGGAAAAACATGCCGTTTCCATGCATATACATGTCCTTCTCAAAAAATTACCATATTGTGATAAAGTTAATTATTTTCCATAATGTAATGATAAAAATTAAACTTTCATATATTTTAGATTAATTGCACACAAACTGAAATATTTCAGGTCTTTTATTGTTTTAGGGGGCTTTTACACTGGGCTCGTTTGCTGCGGTCCGAGGCCGAGCGCGTTTGTTCCCGGCGCCCCCAGCAGCGTTGGTCTGGTTTCACACACAACTTGATTCTATCGAACCCTGGTGCGTTTGCGTGCATATGACGTCATCGCAAACGTGCACGGCGCATGATAGAAAACAGAACGCGGGTCAATATTGTGCTTTTTAAAATTAATTCGCTGCTATTATGCGCAGTTGAGTGAACACTACAGGTTTACTGTGCGTGTGTCACATAAGGTGGACTTCTGCTGCTTGCAAACGGACTCTTTTTAGGAGACAGTGGATTTCCAACTTTGTTGCCCTGATTCCACGCGCAATGCAGGAATACACTGCAGGCTCACTCTCGCTCGTATCCAAGGTAAATCATCAACACTATCATCCCTTACATGTGTTTTATTTAACTGAATACATCACAATAAGCTAAAAACGCATGCGCAGGTTACTTTACTTCCTGAACAAGTGCGCACCCGAGTCCGTGTAGCTTTCACATTCACGCGAACCGCGGCACGGTTCGGGAGCAACCGAACTCAGACCACCTCTTCCAGGTAGTCTCGGGTTCGGTGCCCCAGTGCGCACCCGGGTCCCATGACAGCGATCACATTAGCGATTTTTCATGCGAACCGTGCCCCGTTCCGAACTAAACTGCCAGTGTGAAAGCCCCTTAATACTGATGATTTTGGCATACAGCTCATGAAAACCCCAAATTCCTGTCTCAAAAAATTAGCATATTTCATCCGACCAATAAAAGTGTTTTTAATACAAAAAAAAAAAGAGTCAACCTTCAAATAATTATGTTCAGTTATGCACTCAATACTTGGTCGGGAATCCTTTTGCAGAAATGACTGCTTCAATGCGGCGTGGCATGGAGGCAATCAGCCTGTGGCACTGCTGAGGTGTTATGGAGGCCCAGGATGCTTCGATAGCGGCCTTAAGATCATCCAGAGTGTTGGGTCTTGCGTCTCTCAACTTTCTCTTCACAATATCCCACAGATTCTCTATGGGGTTCAGGTCAGGAGAGTTGGCAGGCCAATTGAGCACAGTAATACCATGGTCAGTAAACCATTTACCAGTGGTTTTGGCACTGTGAGCAGGTGCCAGGTCGTGCTGAAAAATGAAATCTTCATCTCCATAAAGCTTTTCAGCATATGGAAGCATGAAGTGCTCCAAAATCTCCTGATAGCTAGCTGCATTGACCCTGCCCTTGATAAAACACAGTGCACCAACACCAGCAGCTGACATGGCACCCCAGACCATCACTGACTGTGGGTACTTGACACTGGACTTCAGGCATTTTGGCATTTCCTTCTCCCCAGTCTTCCTCCAGACTCTGGCACCTTGATTTCCGAATGACATGCAAAACTGAGCAACAGTCCAGTGCTGTCCAGTGACCCAATCTTCCTCAGGGTCCGGTCACCTCTTCTCGTTGTGCAGCGTTATTTGCCACACTTTTTCCTTCCCACAGACTTCCCACTGAGGTGCCTTGATACAGCACTCTGGGAACAGCCTATTTGTTCAGAAATTTCTTTCTGTCTTACCCTCTTGCTTGAGGGTGTCAATGATGGCCTTCTGGACAGCAGTCAGGTCGGCAGTCTTACCCATGATTGCGGTTTTGAGTAATGAAACAGGCAGGGAGTTTTTAAAAGCCTCAGGAATCTTTTGCAGGTGTTTAGAATTAATTAGTTGATTCAGATGATTAGGTTAATAGCTTGTTTAGAGACCCTTTTCATGATATGCTAATTTTTTTAAGACAGGAATTTTGGGTTTTCATGAGCTGTATGCCAAAATCATCAGTATTAAAACAATAAAAGACCTGAAATATTTCAGTTGGTGTGCAATGAATGTAAAATATATGAAAGTTTAATTTTCATCATTACATTATGGAAAATAATGAACTTTATCACAATATGCTAATTTTTTTGGAAGGACCTGTACTGTATCTTTAAATGCAAATGAGCTCGTGCTCCCCATCCTGCTATCCAGAAGAGGGCGGAGCCTTTACAGCTTGTGCCCAAGGGGGTAATCCATCAGCCGGAAACTGAAGCCTCCCTGGGGGCCGCCATTGGTTAGCAAGCCTTCTCCTGCCGTTAGCATTCCATTGACTCCCATTCCTTTCAGTAACACCTCATTGCAGTACACGAGATCCAGGGGGCGAAGTTGGATCCAGATCTAAGGGGTGGAGATGGGTAGGATTAGGGGTGGGGATAGAGATCAGGGGGCGGAGATGGGTAGAATTAGGGGTGGGGTTAGGGATCATGAGGTGGAGATGGGTAGGATTAGGGGTGGGGATAGGGATCAGGGGGTGGAGATGGGTAGGATTAGGGGGTGGCGATGGGTAGGGTTAGGGGTGGGGTTAGGGATCAGGGGGTGGAGATGGGTAGGATTAGGGGTGGGGTTAGGGATCAGGGGGCGGAGATGGGTAGGGTTAGGGGTGGGGTTAGGGATCAGGGGGTGGAAATGGGTAGGGTTAGGGCAGCGTTTCTCAAAGAGTGGGGCGCGACAAACGGGAGAAAATTTGGTAATTTTTGTGCCCATCTCTATTAATTCCTTTATTTATTGAGCATAAACTCAAAACAAAACAATGACACATTTAAATGGAAGCCTTACTTAACCTTTTCACATGTAAGTTTAAAAGTTTTTAGAGGCGCCCGTAAGGTCGTATCCCTTTATGGTTTCCATGGTGACGCGTCATTGCTTGTCACACCGCAGCCACAATAGCGCTGAATGACTGATTATCTGCTTTTATTTCACAAATTTGTTGGCTATAGCAGGAAATATCTGATATTCCGATTGTCAAATATGAGCAAGTGGATGTGTTTTGTTGTTTAAACACCTTAGTTGAGCTATACGCGATGGGTGTTAGTTTATGCCGGATTTTAGAGAATCGGATCTGTTGGATTTAACAAACGTCAATTTATCCACTTCTCCCGAAATTAAAGTATGAAAGTAAGTGGCTGGTGAACTGAGAGAAGCATAGAGAAACTTGAAATTTACTTACACGATGTGTATTTGATATGAATAATACGTGTCATCTAATTATAATGGAAATAATTATTATTCCCGCTTCCATAGACATAAGTGTGTATTTGACAAACTCTAAATGTAATGCTTTTTTAATAACTTACTTATGTGAATTTAAATGTCTGAAACCTAAAATAAACATTATGTGGTTGAAAACACTGAATAGTTGTGATGTCAAGCGGTGAGCGGCGATTTTCTGGTTCAGAAAATATGTGTAGCCTACTGAAAAACAGGCTCATTGCAGACACTAAATTAGTTAATCACTTAATTTTTAACTTTCAAAGTGCACCATATTTATGAATTTATCTTTAAAACGTACAAACTTTTCTTCCGGGGGAGCATGCCCCCGGACCCCCCTAGGGGTGCAGAGGTCCACACCACACACAAAATACTGTGGGAAACACAGTAGCTTATATGATAGTCTTCGAAAAATACAAAATACAATTATTATTATAAAAATACCTAAAATACGTACATTATTATGATTTTACCACCTCCGCCTCGTTTTGAGCCAGGAAAAACCCTGAGATTATTATTATTCTTTTTCAATTTTGTTTGTTCTTTTTGCATGCAGTTTGCGAAGTGACAAAATAAAAGCAAAGCACATTTAGTCCACACTTTTATTTTCTCCGTTTCTGAATTTGATGTTATCAGAGGCAAAATACGAACACAATTGCATTATTATTTTTATCTACTGTCATGTTTATGTTTTTAAAATGTCATGTTAATAAAATACATTTTAACTTAAAGCTTAGTTTATTAACATTCTGTTGGGGCGATTGCATGAGGACAGGTGGGGCACGAACCCTTCCCTACCTTCAAAGTGGGGAATGGCAGAAAAAGTTTGAGAAACACTGGGTTAGGGTTAGGGTTAGGGATCAGGGGGTGGAGATGGGTAGGATTAGGGGTTGGGTTAGGGATCAGGGGGTGGAAATGGGTAGGATTAGGGGTGGGGTCAGGGATCAGGGGGCAGCGATGGGTAGGTTTAGGTATATGTAAGGTGGGAGGAGTTGGATCTGGTTCCAACTCCCCCTGGATTTCGTATTCTGCAGTGAGGACCATCTCATTCATTTTGGCGTCACTTTGACAGCGAATAACTTTACATCTCAAATCAAAGTTTTATTTGCCATTTGTAAGGCACAAAAGAATGTGTACACATACATAGGAATTGTACTGCATCACCCTTAGAGTCAAGAAAGAAAGTGCACCAGTGCTTACTAGCCATTTATACTAAATATCCCCTATTTATTTGAATTTGCCATTAGTCTCACTGCTGCTGGATAAAAGCTGTTATAAAAACGTGTTCTGTGTGTGATGATACTGTCTGCTCTTGTATGTCTCAGGCTATAGGATTTGTATCTGGGCCTCAATAGTGAATGCGCTGGATGATGAATGTCACTAAGTATGGACTGAGCTTTCTTCTTACAGCGCTCTATATGCAGTGTTGTTATGGGTGGGAGGTTAGTCCCAATGATTCTCTCTGCAGTCTTTATAATTGTTTGGAGAGACTTCTTCTCTGCCTGTGTAGCATTTCCAAGCCACACGATGATGCCATATGTCAAGACACTCTCTATGAGTCCTCTATAGGCATGAGTAAGAGAGCACACCCCAAGCCCAGCCTTCTTTAAAAGCCTGATAAAATAAAGGCGTTTTTGAGCTTTCTTCACTGTGGTAACAGTGTTTGTAGTCCAGCTCAAGTTAGATGTCAAATGCAGGCCAAGGAATTTATGGCTATCGGCCCTCTCCACCACAGTACCCTTGATGGTGAGAGGCTGCAGAGGAGGGGTTTTCTTCCTAAAATCTATGACAAGCTCCCTGGTCTTGTCTATGTTGAGGAACAGGTCATTTTCCTCTCCATAGTCAATTATGTCATTGACCAGCTCCCCGTACCCTGTCTCGTCTGAGGACCCATCCACACTACTATGTTTTAGTTTAGAAACAGAGACCTTTTGCTACGTTTGCACGTCCTGTCCAGACTAAAACAGCAAAAACAAAGACCTAAAACAGAGAAGTTTAGAAACGCTGCCGACCCTGTTTTGAGTTTTGTATGTCCGGAGGGCGTTTTAGTGTAGACGGGTCAAAACGGAGGACTTTAGAAACGATGACGCAGAGGCTCACGCTCGGCTCTCTGATTGGGTGTCATCAGTCATGGCGTATCCTTCCCTGATTCATCAGCCACCCATCACATGACCCGCCCCCGGAAGAAAACATACAACAACAGCCTGGACTACCAGTTACGTTAGTGACTGCAACATGGATAACGAATTACAAGCGTTACTGACTTTGATGTCTTTGCTAGCAGCTGTTGTGCAAGTAAACTCTGCATTTTATAATGCTATAACTACGTACATGCACTGGAGGCAAGCTATTATTCAAGCGATCTGTGACAATTCCAACACAGTCTCATGAAAGTGCGTATCTATACCACGAATGTCATTTCTCGTGCCATTTATACGCCAAAACATTTTTTTGCGTGCATATGCTACGCACTGAAAACCCCTTGGGTAGGTTTAGGGGGAGGGGGGGTGGGGAGTGCGTGCGTATTACACGCCATAAAGTGCGTATCATATGCACGCGAAAACTGCGTATCATATAGACGCAAAAAGCATTTTTGGCGTATAAATGCCACGAGAAATGACATTCGTGGTATAGATACGCACTTTCATGAGATCGGGCTGGACAATTCACGTGTGCAGCGGCGGTATCGACCGTACATGGAGCGTCTCTCTTCGCAGAGGTAACTTAGCTACTTTCTTCTTCGTCAAATCTGAGGATAGTCAATCTGTTTCCCGTTTACACCGGCACGCGCATGCCCAGTGCTGGTGAATGGTCACGTGATCCGCGTTTTCAGTCGTTTTAATGTGGACGGAGATCAATTATAATACGTAGCTAAAACGCTGGTGTGGACGGAGATCGTATTCGTTTTAATTCTCCGTTTTTTTTCAACTAAAATGCAATATGTGGATGGGGCCTGAGACGTTTAAAGACTCCATTTGTCCATTGTTTATTTCTAAAGAAACACGACAATGTACAAATGGCTCTTCTTTGCAAATGGCAAATGGACCTTGTATCTTACGTTATGGCCCCGTAGAAGCCGTTTTTGTAAAAATAGGCTAACGATTGCGTCATAACACTCGACTCTCTGTCGCACATTAGAGAAATTACCGTATAGACAGGAGGAGAAGCTCGCGGGCAATCGGGGGGACGTGGAGGCATAAAGTCAAGGGAGAAGCCCATAGAGTCATAAAGTTGCTCCTGCTGCTCATGGACAGCTAATACTCACACTCTCCGGCTCTCAAGGTGATGATACACAGGGCAACTTTTTGAGCAATGTTGCTGGGCAATCTTGCCAAGCAATTGTTGCTTGGGCACTTTCCCATTGAAAATGGGCAATACATTTCTATCTGGATAATTTAGATCAGCCGTGGGCCCTGTGTCTCATCTGGTTGCCCTTTGATGGCAACATTGCCCAGCAAAATTGCTCAAAAAGTTGCTTTGTGTATCATCACCTTGAGATTCGGAAGGGAATGATTCAGATTCCTCTTGGCACAGCTACTAGAAGATGTACACCTGTCAGACAGGTTTTTCACGTCACATCTCCGTAGTCAAGCTCAGTTTGAGTCTGCGCAGTCGCTCAGCCATCAGGAAGAGATGCCTCTGTGAGATGTCTATGTGCCTCGGATACTCTCCCAAAAACTAAAACAGCTGTTTGGTTTTGATCATCATCTCTATCGCGGTGTGTCGTGACATCATCTCATACAAAAGAAGCTGGCTAGGCGCCAACCAATAAAACGACTCCTTTCCCCTTATTATTAGTTTTTTAAATGTTAAAAATGTGTAAAATAATCTCACAGTGCTTCTGTGAACGTGACGCACCTGAATGGAATATTGCAGGACTAGATATTTGAATAAGGAAACATTACAGATGCTATTAATATTTGACTAAAGCAGCAAGTTTATGCAAATATTTCCAAAAAGAGAATGAAAGCAGGCTCTGAGATATAAAGTATAAGAATAAATATTTTCTACTAAAACGTGCAGGACTTTACATTCTGCAAATGAAAACTGAGGTTTCTTTTCAAAAGCATTTAAAAGTCAAAAGCTGAATATTTTCTCTCTGCCTTTCTTCCTTCAATGTCAGTGAACTCTTCATAAAATCATTGTTTGGAGTGCAGTCTGCTTTATGTAACAGTAACCCTTTTCAGTTAAACTTTTTAATGAAAAATGCATAATCTACTTTATGAGTAAAACAGGAAACATTAGCTATACAGTAAGAACAGTCCTTTTGTGATTTGACACGTAAACATGAGACAATTTTGTTACACCTTTTGCATACTGCATGCAATGATAAGCATATCATCAACAGCCCATGTGTTATCAGACTCAATTTGCCTGTCTGTCTCTGCCCATCCGAAAATTATGACAAAATTTGAATAATTCTGGCATTTCCTTCTTTCAGCACAAACAAACAACCTACTCAACAGGTAAGAAGGATATTTTCTATCTCTGTTTTATGATCAGTTTTTATTACTTACCGTGTAACTAACATACTGTTTGTAGGCCTATAAGCAACATATCTGATTGCATTTCCTGTCATTGTTTGGTTGTTGATGCGATACGCATTTACAGTGCATGCAGAATTATATAGGCACATTTAACCAATTCCAAACCACATTAATCTCAATAACTACTATTAATTTTGTATTTAAAAATGTATAAGTGATATATAATTTTTCATGGAGGCTGGAAATGAAAAACGCCTATTCAGGTGTGCATAATTATTAGGCACATTTTTTTTTTTACAGATAAAATAAGCCAAAAAAGAGATTTAACTCAGACTGAAAAGTCAAAACGGTAACGCTTTAGATTACAGCCCGGAAAGTAATTAAAGTTATTTTACAGTGTAACGTTCGGTAATTATAGTGTACCTATGACGTACTTACAATATAAGTATAATGGAACAATATTTTAAGTTTGGGGAATGAAGGTGTAACAACCAGGAGAATTAAACAATTATTTATACTGTAAGTATTAAAGAACTACAGGGTGCTTATTATTATGATATAACAATCTTACATTTGTGAGCAATTTAGCAAGAACATACCTTTTTGAAATAATGGTGAACCAGTACATACTGTATAGGCTTTTAAAAAATTACAGGGTACATATCTATGCATTTATAAAGTTATCTTTTTAACAAAAGTGCACTGAAAATGAAAACTATTGCAACTTTTGCTTAAATATTGGGGAAAGATACTCTTGTTCCATGTAGTTACAGGGTAAGTACAATAAAAATGCATACACACAATCTTATATCACTGACTCGGAAACCTTTATTTATTATACAAGCACCACTTACCCTGTAACCACATGAAACCGGATTCATTTCCCAGTATATTTAAAAAAAATTGCAATAGTCTTAGCTTTTCTTGCCTTGAAACATGTTAGCCCAAACTTAAACATCTGCACTTTTGCTATAAAAAAAAAAAAAAAAAAATATATATATATATATATATATATATATATATATATATATATATATTCTTTTTAAATGCATAAATATGTACCCTGTCATTTTTAAAAAGCCTATACAGTATGTATTGCCTTGGTACACAATTATTACAAAAAGGTGTATGTTCTCGCTAAATTGCTCCCAAATGTAAGATTGTTGTATCGTAATAGTAGAATAAGTACCCCTTAGTTCTATAATACTTACAGTATACATATTTTTTTAATTCTCCTGGTTGTTACCCCTTTATTCCCCAAACTTTACATATTGTTTCCTTATACTTACATGTAAGTACTTTATAGGTACACAATAATTACAGAAAGTTACACTGTAAATTCCTCTTAATTACACAGTACTTTCCGGGCTGTAATCTAAAGCGTCACCGTCAAAACTTATTAAATGCCTATGAGAAGGATGCAGTACTAATGCAATACTAGAAATTGCAGTTAAGGCATGACGATTGGACAGTGAAATGCTCATTAGGTCAGCAGGGTCAGACAAAAACAGGTGGAGAAGAAAAGACACGTTAACTGCAACAGAATTAAGAATTAAAGTGAACAATTAGGTGTGAAACCATCAGAAACCCTTTAGTATCCAGCACCACCTTTTTCCAGGACTGCAACTTATACCTGGAGTCTCCAGAAGAGCAAGATATCAGGATCTCAGAGACTTAGGTTAGGTAAAGAATCCTTAAAAATGAGAAAAGAAAAAAAAAAGAATCACAAGCTGAAGTGTATAGTAAAATACATGAAGATTTTTTTTATAGGCTTTATAGACATACAGATTGAGAGTGACTCTTGATGGACCAGCATCACATCCTATTGTATCACTGTTTGAAGAATTCATCTTCCAGAATCTGCCCATAAGTTTTGGGAGTTAATTTTTAGTCCATCTCCTGAAGTCCGTTTTGCAGAGATGGGCTAAAAAGTTAACTCCCAAAATTACTGGCAGATTCTGGAAGATGAATTTGACTTTACTACTATGTTTATCTTCAGTCAAGAATGCAGTTTATGTAAAAGCTGAATATTTTTAATCTTTAAATAATGTTGTTTTCTCAAGTCAGCATTCAGATGAAGGACATACTGTACTGAAGGTGTTTTAAAAAAGAACACAAGTAATTATTAAGGCATTTTGATTTCTCAAATTCTCATTTTTCTTTCATCAGATCACAAGAACGAGATTCAGACCATTTGATAAAATATCAGATTCTGGTTTACAATATGTCAAACATTGCTCTGGTATTTCTGTCTGCCCTGCTCATTAACTGGGGTGAGTATTAAACCATGATTATATCATATGTTGCTGAGCAAATTTGCAAAAGAAAAAGGAAAAAAACAGCTGTTTTGCATGTGAAATTGTACAGTGTTTTTTTATGTTAATGACATTTATAGCATTAATGCATAGCATAAACATGTATAGCACAAGTTCAATGATTTTATCATTAAGGTCCTCAAAAGGTGGATGTCAATAATGTCCATATATTAAAGTTCATATTTCACGTAACGCATAAGGGAAGATGCCCCTCTTAAAGGGATACTCCACCAGTTTTTCTTATTAAACTATGTTATTCCCTTAACTAAGACGAGTTGATACATACCTCTCTCGTCTCAGTGCGTGCACTATATCGCTCTGTATTGCCGCAAAACTATGTTAGCACTTAGCTTAGCCCATGCATTAAATATGGGCCAAGCAGAGAAGCGACCAAACACTTCCACGTTTTCCCTATGTAAACACAGTTACTCGAGTAGTGTAACTTGACCTGGGCTGGTGACACAAAATAAACCGTTGCGCTTTTCTAAGCGTTTAAAATTGATGACTATATTGTATGGCGGAATACCATAACAAGTGCTTTTGAGCACTTCGACTTGGCGCAATAATATCTTCACTCGTGAAAAGTCCTCTTACCGGCTCCCGCTTCCTCTCCCCCTCCCTCTGACATTTCCGTCAATACAACCAACGTGACATGCGCCGGTAGTAGTAGTTCGAGCGGAGTTGACGAAGTAACAGGTTGTTGGAAGCTAGTTTGTGTACAATAATGGTTAAAGCGTGCATCGTAAAGGGTTGTGAAAATAAGGAGAATGTACATAGTGCTGTCATTTTTCACCGAATTCCAACACACCACATACAGCGGAGAGGTTAGCTGCTTTGAACAAGAATCCCAAAACACCATTGATGACTCTGAAGAAGTGGCGTGTTTGCTCCGAACATTTCACAAAGGAGGACTATACCTGCACAGGAACACGCCTAAAGGATGAGGCTACACCAACAATATTCAGATCACTTACAGAAAGCCCGTGGTCTTTCGCCAGCTCCGGTCTGTTCTGGATCATATCTTTCTTGCCTCTCACGGTCCATAAGAGCTAATTCCTCCTCCTCCTCCGTGTACTCGGGTTCAAACAGATATGGCTCTGGGTCTTCTACAAAGAAGTCATAATCATCTACAAAGTCCGCCATTGCAAATGATCTGCAGTTTGCTAATAGCACAGGTAGTAAAAGTCACGTTGGTTGTATTGACGGAAATGTCAGAGGGAGGGGGAGAGGAAGCGGGAGCCGGTAAGAGGACTTTTCACGAGTGAAGATATTATTGCGCCAAGTCGAAGTGCTCAAAAGCACTTGTTATGGTATTCCGCCATACAATATAGTCATCAATTTTAAACGCTTAGAAAAGTGCAACGGTTTATTTTGTGTCACCAGCCCAGGTCAAGTTACACTACTCGAGTAACTGTGTTTACATAGGGAAAACGTGGAAGTGTTTGGTCGCTTCTCTGCTTGGCCCATATTTAATGCATGGGCTAAGCTAAGTGCTAACATAGTTTTGCGGCAATACAGAGCGATATAGTGCACGCACTGAGACGAGAGAGGTATGTATCAACTCGTCTTAGTTAAGGGAATAACATAGTTTATTAAGAAAAACTGGTGGAGTATCCCTTTAAAGCATTACTTTACCCAAAAAATTTCATTTATATCATCATTTACTCATCCTCATGTCGTTCCAAACCCGTAAGACCTTTGTTCATCTTCAATACACAAATGAAGATCTTTTTGATGAAACCTGAGTGATTTCTGTCCCTCCATTGACAGCGACGCAACTACCACTTTGACGCTTCAAAAAGTTCATAAAGAGATCGTAAAACTAATCCATATGAATTGAGCGGTTTAGTCCAAATTTTCTGAAGAGACTCGATCGCTTTATATGATGAACAGATTGAATTTAGGCTTTTTGTGCATGTTTTGCCTGTAAAAATTTAAATGTATTTTTTTATGTTAATGACATTTTCTGTGTAACTAAGATACAGATTGCTTATATTGCGCATAGTACTAAAACGATTCAATCAAGTTGATTTTAAAATTATTTTATCATTACCACAACTGATGTGTGCATTGATGAATGTTGATAAATCTAAATTAAATCTGTTCAGCGTATAAAGCGATTGAGTCTCTTCAGAAAATTTGGACTAAACCGCTCAATTCATATAGATTAGTTTTACGATCTCTTTATGAACTTTTTGAAGCGTCACAGTGGTAGTTGCATCGCTGTCAATGGAGGGACAGAAATCACTAAGATTTCATTAAGAAGATCTTCATTTGTGTTCTGAAGATGAACAAAGGTCTTACAGGTTATATGACGGTTCGCAATGAATGACGTCATTAAGTTTGATATTATTTAAGTTGAAATTACTAGTACAGCCAATTTGAATTATACTTAAAAATGTAAGGCATCAACTGAAGTAATCTTTTTAAGTTGAAATAGGTGGGTTTATTTTTACTGCATATCTAAAGATGTATCAAGTTCTCATATTTAAACTTATTCATTATTTTATTATGTACATAAAATACTGTATGTTCTCCCCGTTTTTCCAGTAAATTCTGAAAACTGATATTTCTCCTCAGCATTTCCTCCTTCAACTGCTGTGGGTCGACTAAGAAAATTCTACATAATAAACAGAAAAATGATTAGACCAACTGCTGAGAAAGAATGCAGAATAAACTACACTGGCCTCGTCACAGTCTATGACCAACAGGACAATATGGAACTATCTCAGATCACAATGAAAAACTTTTCTAGTGGCTGGATTGGTACTTGTCGTGCAGGAATTGGCACTTGTGCAGGAATTCGCAGTAAGAAATGGTCAAACGGTGATGATGTCACATTTAACAGAAATCTTACAGGATATACTGGGACAATAAGCTGTGCTGCTATGAAAACTAATGGAGACTGGGAATATCTTCTATGTAGCAACAAAACACACTTTATGTGTTATGAACAAGGTAATAAAATATAACCTTATAAATATTTAATTTTACAATTAATTAAAACAATCTAACTTTCTTGCAGCTACAGGTGTTGGACGATCCTACATGTTAATCCCTGAAAACAAAACCTGGTTTGAGGCTCAGCGGTACTGTAGAGGGAATCACACTGATCTAGTCAGTATCAGAGATGATGAGGAAAATGAACAAGTGATGAAGGCAGGAGAACAGTATAACAATTCCTTCTGGATCGGCTTGCTGGAGGACGCGGTGGGATGGGCTGATGGAGGACAATCTGATTACAGAAACTGGGATCTCTCTAGACTTAACACCAATCAAAAATATCCTGAAGCTTACATGTTTCCAAGTGGGAAATGGTTTGGTAGTACTGGTGGTGCCTACCTTCCTCTATGCTATAGTAAGACAACACAACACTTTTTTTTAAATTCAAATCAGTTCTGGTCTAGCATCGCATGCTTTTGTAATTCAAAGTGAAAATATTTACCTCTTTTTTTGTATACTTTTTGTCAGAAAGCTTCATTCATGTCAGTGAGACGAAAATGTCCTGGGAGGACGCTCTGGATTACTGCGACAATCACCCGAATACAACTGGACTCCTGACCATCCAGTCTGAGAACGATCAGATAGAAACGGAGCGAGAGCTAAAAAGAAGGAATATCTCCGGGCCAGTTTGGGTGGGACTCAGACAGAGTCGACTCTTCGGATTCTGGATGTGGATCAACGGGCTTCATGTGGGAAACTGGAGCAACTGGAAAGGGGGAAGTCAACCAGGAGGGATTTCCCTTTACTGCGGTGCCATAGAGAAGGTGGACGGTCAATACAAATTGTGTGATAAAGGCTGTACAAGTAAATATACAGTTTTATGTGAGGGGAAGTAATATAGGCCCTTTCGGTTTATCATGCAGTTTTCATTTCTCTGCCTCCTAAACAAGAGGAAGAAATGCTCATGTGTTCAACAGTAAACAGCTCTATCTTCATGTCTTGTATAATAAAGCTCATAAAGCTAATGCTATCCTTAGTGGTCCTGTTGCATATTTGATTTTTATGTTTATCTTGTTTATTTGATCATTTACGTAGTTTTATTAAGTAAACCTTTATGTCTCATACTAAAAATGAATAAGTTGTTCATAAATGCATATTATATCATTGAGTTGATAGCGTTTGTTCTTGTACTAACAATAGAGAACTGTATTGTATTTTAATTCATTGGCTATTTAAGACTCAGTAAATCATAGAATGTATTTTTAGGATAGAATTTAAGGTTAAGAGGTTTTATAAAATGCAATCAGAAAATGGTTGAAGAAACTTGGCTTGTAAATCAAAAATGTGATTTTAAAACACATTTTTTTCTATGGATGGATCTACATTGAAATATGGACATGTTAACAGCATCTAAAACATGAACCCATTTATGTATAAAGAGACGTACAAAATGTTTAAGAATTTTTGAAGTTCAGTGAATATTGAATTCAAGGGATTTTTCATTTTAATGGTATAATAAATTAGATTGATGGTTAACACATTAACATATTTTGATGTAGATTTTCAAACACTGTTCATTACATTACACTGTAAAATCGTTTTTCTTACATTTACTTGTTGAGCTTTGATGATAAATTTGCCATTAAAAAGGTCTTTCTGAGACAAAGTTCCTCTTCTGATAAATGAGAGTTTAAGATTGTGGACAATTTCAGTCAGAGGATTTGTAAAGATGTGTAAAATGTTATATTTTAAATGATGTCAACATGATATTGTGTAGATCTCAGTCTCTAAAACATACAGAAATTCATGGTACACGCACATCACAAATGCAAAATATTGCACTTGAATCACATTACACCACATTACAGCACAAAAAGCGACATTATACATCAGTGTCACACTTTTCGATGCTTTATTAAGTTAGAAAAAACGCTGTAGGGAGAGAAGTTGGGCATATGTGATGCTGGTCTGTGTGACAGAAACCCTAAATCACATAATGCAGACTCAGCGCTGCACTTATTGACAATCCTATATCGCGCTGAGGCTGTGGGAAAGATGCACTTTGATCGCTGTGATTAAATAACACGAGCAACACAGTTTACAACCAGCCCAAGTCTCCTGTGTGAGCAAATACAGAAGCATCAGTCATGTAGAGAACAAACTCGGCCAGCGTCTGTGATCCATCACAACTCTGAACTCTGATCCAGACCCTTTCATGAGCTTCGCTTTATTCTGTCTCTAAATCACAGCAGGACAGTGACTATCTCAACACGCCTTCCTCTGTAGTTCCCAATGGGCACAACATCCTAAAAACACTTAAAATGAATTATGAGCACTGATATCATTTAATGCATAGCCCAGAAGGTTTATATTATAATTCTGGAGTGAGCTATCTATAGCATTCAGAATCATCTTAATGACCGAATAACAGCCTATCACTAGAAACTACCCTAAACATTTATAAACAAGCCAGTTTCATATTTTTAAGAGCATGTTGAAATATACACTCACACTCAAAAAAATGACTCTTTGGTTGAACATGATTTAATCATGGACAGTGGTTCCACGTGATTGATTCAAGTTATTCGAGTATGACTGAATCAGGTTATTTGGACAAGACTGAATCAAGTTATTTGGACACGACTGAATCAGGTTATTTGGACAAGACTGAATCAAGTTATTTGGAAATGATTAAATCAAGTTATTTGGACATGATTAAATCAAGTTATTTGGACGAGTCTAATTTTAATTGCGTTTACTCACTTCGCTTAAGTTCATCCAACATGAAGTTTTTTGGTTGAGATAACATGGTTCCATCATGTGGAACCACTGTCCATGCTTGAATCATGTTCAGCCAAAGAGTTATTTATTTGTGTCTATTTAATAGACACACAGAGTTAAAATAACATACAATCAACCTAAATATAGCTTTTCTTTTAATACATACGATGTTGGCAGTCTAAAAATGGTACTGATTGCATCACTAGCAAACCCATTGGAGTTGCTTTTAAAGCAACTTGAATTCTTAGCATGTCCTCCACCGAAGCACATGCGACACTTTATCACAATGGTAACTCACCCATAAACACCTACATATAAGAAAGTCGTTTAAAATACCAACATAATAGAAAATTAAACATTAACAAGTCTCCCTATTTTCTCATCTTGCTTACATTTTTTATTTTTATCAAAGAACACTGGTACATTGCAATTACGACAGACCAGGAGGGTATTCTTAAGTATTTATTGAGACACAACATTTACTTCACATAACATTTTCAGGCATAAAACAAAATAAGTGGGCTTTATAGTAAAAAATAAATAAAATAACATTAAAACAATATTATCAGACTTTTTCACCAAATAAGTGAAAACTGCACAAACAAGGAAATATGCTTGTTTAAAATTTCCTTTTTTTTAAATGGTAAAAATGTGTAAATATAAAATAATATTATTATAATAAAATATCTGAAACAAAGAGTGGACCATTTTTAAGTAAAATGTTTCCTCTAGATTCAACAGCACTTTATGAATGAACTTTGAGAAGTTAGTGTACTCTAAATAAGGGCATAAATAAGTGCAAAAAACAGCAGCAGTGCACTGACCAAGACTTGGTAGACATCACCACCTCATCTTCAATCAAAACATCCAGTGAGTTTAAAGACACCGTTCCTCCTCAACAGCAATGATGGTGACTGCTGCACCTGGTCAAACTCCTTACATTTCTCCTTACAAACCCCTTTTTCTAAATGCATTGAAAGAAAAAAAAGAAAGTGTTAGTGCATGTCACCAAGTGTAACAAGTTTATCGGTTGAATGTTCTAGAGCTTAAAAAAAAATGTCATTAATAAAATGTAATTTGGCATCAGTCGGTTCTTTATTACAAAGTAGAAAGTAAAGTGGTGCTTAAAAGGGATAGTTCACCCCAAAATAAAAATTCTGTCATCATCATTTACTCACTATCACATCACACCAAACAAGAATCTTGTTCAGCTTTGGAACAAATTATTATTATTATTTTTTATATATATATATGTCATGGACAATCCATCAAAAGTCTATAGACAATCAATATTTAGCTTCAAGAAGTACATAAAGATATCTAATCCATATGAATAAAGCCGTTTTATACAAGCCTTCCAATGGATAAAATATGACAAAGTATGAAATATATTATTTATTTATTTTTCTTAAGATTAACAAAATTATGGTTTTGGAACATTCTAATTGAATTTTTTTCATTCTAAAAATATTGCATTTCTTCAAAGCTTTTTTTTGTGCCATTTGTGCTGCAAGACATCTCTAAAACTGAACGATGTACAAACAATATATTTAAATAACTGGTCATAATATGTGACAATTTACATCTCGTACAACACTAAAAACAATCAGTTTGTTCAATGTGAATTTTACTTACTTCGTTTTAGGGGGGGTGCTAGGGTGTGGTTACAGTTACATGGTTACAGTTATGTTGTTCTGGATGAACACTATACTGTATATATAATTATCATAGGATTGGCAAAGGAGAAAAAAGGCAGTTAAATATAAATGAACCATGATGAGCAACACATTTGTTACTGTATTTATTATTCTTTGTTAATAAAAATACAGCTGTTCGTTGTTTGTTCATATTACTTCACAGTGCATTAGGCTAACTAATGTTAACAAATATAACTTTTAATTGTAATAAGGCTACTAGTAAATAGTGAAATTAACATTACCAAAGATTAATAAATGCTATTTATATATAAAGATTAAGAAGTGCAGTTTAT